TAGATTACTTAGAAGATCAGTAAGAAAACATCGGCCTTAAACAACATGTTAAACAGGGGTACTTAAAAGATATACACCACCCTGGCCAGTTTGGCTCAGTGGTCAGAGCATTGGCACATGGACCAAAGGGTCACAGGTTCAATTCCAGTTAAGGACACGTACCTGAGTTGCAGGTACAATCCCCAGTCCCAGTTAGGATCGTGTGGGAGGCAACCAATTGATGGGTCTCTCTCACATCAATGTTTCTCTCTCTCACTCTCCCTTCTTCCCTCCCTTAATCTCTTCTACTCTCTCTAAAGGAAAAGAAAAAAAAAAAAAAGGAAATCAATGGGAATATCCTTAGGTGAGGATTAACAAAAGATACATTCAGAATATTCCATCCAAACTAAAAAAATACGCATTCTTCTCAAGTACCCACACTCTCCAGGAGAGACCACATGTTAGGCTAAAACAAGTCTTAATACATTTAAGAAGATTAAAGTCATATCAAATATCTATTATGACCACAATGGTATGAAACTAGACATCAATTACTAGGAGCAAATGAAAAATTCACAAATATGTAGAGATTAAACAACATACTACTGGACAATTGATGGATCAAAGAAAAATTCAAAGGAGAAATTAAAAAAAATACCTTGACACAAATTCAAATACAAATAAACATATCAAAATTTATGGTGTGTAGCAAAGCAATTCTTAGAGAAAATTTCATAGCAATAAATGCCTATCTCAAGAAACAAGAAAGATTTCAAATAAACAAGCAAACTCTACTTCAAGGAACTAGAAAAGGAAAAACAAATGAAGCCCAAAGTTAATGATATAAAGGACATATCAAAGATAAGAGCAGAAATTAACGAAATAGAGACCAAAAAGACAATATAAAGAATCAATGACACTAAGAGCCGGTTCTATGAAATATAAGCAAAACTGAGAAGCCTTTAGCTAGACTCACCACGAAACAAAAAAGAGGACTTCAATAAATAAAATCAGAAATGAAAGAGAAATGTTACACCTGATACCACACAAATACAAAAGATTATAAGAGACTATTATGAACAACTAGATGCCAACAAAGTTGACAACCTTAAGAAATGGATACATTTGTTTAAACGCACAACCTACCAAGAATGAATCAGGAAGATGCAGAAAATCTAAATAGTCTGATGACTAACACAAGACCTACAAACAAACACAAGTCCAGGAGGAGATGGCTTCACTGGTAAAGTCTACCAAACCCTCAACTAGAACACTTCCTTCTTGCTGCTCTCTTATCTCTATAAAAATGTATTAATTTCCACATCCTTTGAAACATTACATTAGCATGGCTTTCCCAAGTGGAACTTGGTGTTGTCTAGCTCCTCTGAGGTCACTGACCACAATTTCTCTCCACAGCCCTGAAAACCCGGAGAAAAGACAGGCCTTTGGCTGAATATTTTCTGCGGCACCAATAACCATCCTACAAGATAATGCACAATTCTGGACAAGTTTTATTGCTCAAAGGGCTTTATATCGAGAACACACCTCTTTCTGCAGTAGCCACGCTCTGGTGGCGGTTGCATTACCACCAGGGTGAGATGAATAAGGCACTTTTGTAGGTAGTAAAGGTCAAGGGAGTGTCCCCAAACACAGCAATCAAGAAAAATGATATTTTAATGCAGTGTTGAAAAAATTAAAATTAAAATACAAAAAATAAACAAAATATTAAAATGTTAAATGAAGTCATGTTCCAACAGAGCTAGGATTTGGGTAAGGTGGGCCGGTGAGTCATACAGGGATAGAGGCAGATCCTGTCTTTATTAGATATTTCAATTTCTTGTGGTTAAAGTCCTACTTGGACACTGAAGATTCATCCCTCAAAAGGAGGCAGCCTGAAGACGTCGGTCCATGTGTACTCATCTGTAGGACCTCGATGTGCCATGTATGTGACCAGAGGCCTCAGCAAACATGCTGTCTCGGGCGTCTGTTTCAGTTTGCCCCCACTCTGGCTGTCTGCTTCCCTGTGTCTTGGCTTCCAGCCCACACTACAAGCCCCCCTTTGTTCTCGATCCCTCCTGATGCAAATACACCTGGGAAAGTCCATTCCTGACTCCATTTAAATTGGCTTGGATTGAAATGTTTTTTTGTAGTTGGGTGAAAAAAATATAAAAAATTTTACCCAAGTCAGTTTTCAAAGAATGATGTTCATAAACATAGAGCCCCCTCGTCTGTGCAGGCTTGTCTTTGACCGCATATTCCATTTTACTGTGAGACCAAGGTAACCGTAATACACGTGTTTCTCCATATAAACTGACCTGTAGAGGTTTAGGGTTGGCAAAACCCATTTAGTAAAGTTCTAATTGGTGGTGGAAACAGGTCAGGATGCTCACAGAGTAAAAGAAACCATAAAAGAAGAAGAAGAAGAAGGAGGAGGAGGAGGAGGAGGAGGAGGAGGAGGAGGAGGAGGAGGAGGAGGAGGAGGAGGAGGAGAAGGAGGAGGAGAAGAAGAAGAAGAAGAAGAAGAAGAAGAAGAAGAAGAAGAAGAAGAAGAAGAAGAAGAAGAAGAAGAGGAAGAAGAAGAAGAAGAAGAAGAAAACCATTTTATTAAACTTGCTTTAAGCAATAAACTCTGCCTTAAAGTTATCTTAGAAAAAATAGCCGAAGCAATCACTGGGCTTGGAGTCTCATAGCAAGACTACACCAGGCATCAATAGCATCTTTAGGTGCAGGTGTGCGCTTTAACCAAACAGTGGTAGGAAATTCAAGTCTGGAGTATTCAGATGGCCGCTATGTGCCTAAAAAGTACAAGCAGTGGTACAGGGTCCGAGACTCATGTCAACAGCCTTTCTCTCATTTTCTTTATAACACCTGATTGAGTAATTATTTTACTGTTCACGTATATATAATTTAAGCAAGCTAGACACAAACAGGTATGTAGCTCTTCAAGGAGAAAAACAAAATGTAACAATTAAAGACTGTGTCTATAGTTAGTCAGCGGACTGCAGGCACCCTAGGTCTGGGGAGAAGGTTTAGAGGATGACACCCTCTGAAACGAACACTGTCAGAGTGACCGTGACGCGGCACACCATCCATCAGTTCGCAATGACCCACTTTGAGGGGCGTTCTGTAAATGACCCGCTGTGCAGACCACGTCTTTCCTCGGGCTCCCCACTCAAACATGAATCTTCTGTGAAGTGATGAAACATGAGCTGTGATTGGGAACACTAACATATTTGGGAAAAACACACAGATGGATAGAGAGAAACCTCGACAATAAGAATTTGCTTTTCTACAAGGAACAGAGGCAATACATCTGTCCGGCAAAAGTGATGGGGGGCACAAAACAGTTTTAATTTATCGAGTGTAAGCAGAGCAGTACCAGTTCCCTTAGACACATTACCTTGGATTATTTCAACAACTTTAAAAGTCAATATTATTATTTCCACTTCAAAAGTGAGCACGCTGCGTGTCTAAAGCCACACAGCTAGTGTGTAATGGTGACAGCATTTTAGGTCCGGTCCGACTGTCCCTAATATCTGGGCTTTCTCCATAAACTCTTTCTCAGCTATCCAAGTGTCCCCTTCACCAGAATTTTATATTCTTTAGAGACAATCCCCAGGCATCATCGCAAGTTGGACAAAATGCTCTAGAAAGTTCTCCAACTCAGATCCACAAATCAGTTGTTTCTCAATAAGTTCTTTCTCCAAGTGCCTCAGTTTTTAGGAATGTGTGTTTCTGGATGAAGAAATGAGCATTAGCACAACTGGAAAGAATTGCCTCTTTTCTCTATTAATTTATCAGTATTCTGGCATTTAGGTTGTTTTCCATGAGGTATGCTCGTCTGAATCTCTCACTGGCACTGACCACTCTTAGATGAACTACAAATTCAAGTTTCTGAAATGAAAAACAGAAAGAAAATCCATTGGTTTTCTCTGGATTTCCCGATAGCCTTCTTACAAAGATGTCTCTCCAAGGGCAATACCGAAGAAAGCCAGACAGCTGGTAAGCTCCCCGCTGCCCACCGGTGCTGGCCCTCTGCCTCAAATGGCATTGCTGTCCTGTCTCTAGAAAAATCTTCCCTTCTCCTTTAAAATACAACTGCAAATGCTCTCAGTTCTTTTGTGAACTCACTCCACAACCCCCCAACTAAAGTCAATCTCCCCTTCCTTAAAACTTCCATATCGTTTTGCATCTACCACTCTTATAGTCACTCCATGTAACTCTTTCTGCATAATTCTCTCTTCTCATTCAGCCGCAAGATCCCAACCATGCAGATGAAGTCGGGGTCACCTTTGGTACCCCAGCACCTACGACAACCCTTGGCCTAGGAAACTCATCCTCCATAAATATTTGTGGCAATGGGGTTTTATAACCATGGAACCTGATCTTTGAACACCATAGCCTTCAGGAAGATGTAAGAAGATGAACAATTATTAGAGGCCTACTTCCTTGAAATTGAACGGAGTTCATTCTGAGCTCACTGAACTTGATTCATTACGATGACGTTTTCTATTGCAACGTTCCTTGGCTTGTGATTGGCTTCTCCACGTTTATTACAACCTTCTGCTTATGGAATGATAAGATGCCTCATGTAATAGTGAGAAAAATTAAACCTCAGAAAGTCAGTGGACTTAGCACAATCCAACAGCCTAGTGCAGGAGGTGAACTAGAACTCCGCCCTCCAGCCCCTTGGTAACTCTTTCCAGTGGACCAATGCGCTGTGGAAAACAATAATAGCCTTTTTTTTTTTTTTTTTTAAAGCTTGTGTATAGCTCTTTAACCTATTCAGAAGAAAATCCCTTTTTCTTTATTAGTCGCAGTGGACACTAGACCATGGGAAGAGTTGCCATCAGGTTTGGTAAGTTTGCCCAGAAAAGGCCATTCATAAAGTCCATGTTAGAAATATCAGTCCCACACTGAGGGTTGTCGTTTTCGTTTCTCAAGGACAAAGCAATAAAAAGCAGCACAGCACACGCCATCCGCCACACGGTGCCCGAAGCAGAATGAAACAGTGCACTGACCATAGTCTGTGTTTTCTGGCTCCCAGCAATTTGATGGCCAAAAATAGGGAGTCTGTGGAAGGAGAAGAGGTGGAACCCGAGTTAGACCCATCAACAATGAAAAGAGTTTGGGTTTACGAGCTGTGTTTATATTTAGCAATTGTCTGGACTGGTTCACTGAAGAATGATGGTCCTGAGAGGCGATGCCCAGTTTTCCTTCTACATTTACCTTCCTGAGCAATGGTTCAGCCCCAAACACTGCAGCACCAGCTGGTATTTAAAATGTCCCACATGTGCTGTAATATATGTCAACAGACATAAAGGTGAAAGGTCTGGTTGCATTATTCAAACACGTTGGAATCCAAAGACTGAAAGTAGAGTATGATACTGAGCAAGACTGAGTATCAAACATTTTTAAATATTACAAATTGTTTTCTATGATTAATGTATCTCAACATTGCCATCAACAGATGCACAAGTTCAACCTTGAGTCAAACTCCCTAAGGTCTGGCAATCATTCGCTTGGCTCTACTAATTACATACTGCAGCTCGTAACTCGATCCAAGCAGATGAAAACAACTTTTCTTCCTCACTTCAAAAACCATGCCTTAACGAGACACTTAATGCTCTAAATTTTTAATCTGCACACCAGAGATCATTTGTTTTTTTAACTTACAATGTCTTAGTTGATTGATGTGATTTACAGACAGAAACCCGATTCTGTGAAATTCTAGAAACTGATGAAACTACAAAGAAAATGTCTGATCCGGAAAACTCTATTGTCATCGTCAACATTTTATATTTTCTAAAAGGGCTTTTTTTTTTATCTCTGCTCGCTGGACATGCTTGGCTCCAGACCACGAGAAAATTCAGCGACCATCTGTCTACTCTCCAAAAGTCTGATGGTGACTCCGGGACCCGAAGGCACAGGGACAGCGGACATCAGCTCTGTGGACTCCATTATATTTACTAGTCAATTATAATAACTATCTGTGTGTAACAGCACATTTCTGTAATCTCTGACTACCTGTTTGATCCTTCCACCTTCTAGAAGAGGGATTCTCAAGAAGGGGAAGAATCGGGGAGAACTGTTTGTTTCTGGGGAGAGCATTCCAAGCTGTTGAGACTCCCAGGGGTTTTTGTTCCTGGAATTGCTGCAGCCTGGTAGAGAAAGCTACTAACAGTGTTTACCCAGGTGCACAAGATGGTGCAGAAAGCCAGGATAAAAGGTTGAACCATTGGACAAGGATGGATCAAGGCTTTGCACGGGCCCCTCCTCACCCAAATCCCATGTGACTCAGTGAGGGATAAATCTTGGAGGATTTGATTTCTTAGAAATACAACTGGGTAGAGATTTTAAGGAAGCCACTAGGGAACGAAAGAATTAAGATCTTGCTTTCATGTGGGCTGCTGGTTTCTAAGCTACTTCTCATAGAGTTCATTATTCCCTTTGGGTTGCTTCTTTATTTGGGAAGGGTCGGTGGAGGGGCTTGTGAGTGAGTGTGTGTGTGTGTGTGTGTGCGCGCATGTGTGTGTATGCACACATACCTATTTAACTTTTAAAATACCTATTCTAGTTAGATTGGTCAGATGTATACTTTTATTTCCTTCAAACCACAGGGTATTCTTGTTGTAGTGTTACAATTTTTCTTTATTCTTTTATAATTTAGTAAAAATTTTCTGAATGTAAAAATAAAAGAATGAAAATATTGTATTTTGTAATGTGACGTAGAAATGTCATAAAACCAACATTCTTCACAAAAACTGTAAGATTTTCCCTAAGAAAAATATTTTGATTTATAGTAAAAGGCAGTTTAATAAATAGCAAATCCTTGTAGTTTATTGGAATTGAAAAAAAATATACTTAAAAGGGAGGAGGGGGCCGCATCTGTAATATTTTTAACAATGAAGATAAATTTAAAAAAAATATATATACTTCACAGTCCACATAGACTTGAAGACATTTTAATGTGTGAGTGTTGGCTTCCTTAGCTATGATAAAACTGTCCAGCCATTTCTTAATGATCTTTGGCACATTTTTAATGTAATGAAAGTCATACAAGGGACCTGACAAATCATGTCAGATCTCAATTCCAATTAGCTAAGAGGCTAATTAGACAATTGCAAGTTTATATTAATACAAAAATCACGTGATTGAAAATGTACTAAAAATTGAGACAAATTTACATATCATCGCATGCTAATGAAATTAAATGAAGAGTTCTCTTTGCCTCAAACTCATGCCCGGAAGCCTTTCTGGATTCCTAGTGGTGGTTAGAATCTCAATCATTCACTGGAAGAATTGTAAGCATGATGTTACAAGTTTTCCATTTTAATTCATGACTTAAGAAATCCTTCCAAGGAGTTGAATTTCAGTTCAATGTAATAAAGCACTTTCTGCTTCTTGGAACCAACCCCCCAAATGGAAATGAACACCTTGAACAATAATGAGTGTTCTATTGTTAGAGCTGTTGAACCACAGACTGATTAATGTGCCGGTAGATATTGTTGCAGGAATTCTGCTTTTCCTGACTTCTCTGTCTTTTTTGTCTTTTAAATGTTGGTTTTCAATTCCTATGATTATTAGATCTACAAATGTGTCATATTTAGATCCTATTTCAAATGTGGATGGGTCATTAAAATAGTTACCATTTAATAGTTACCATTAATTAGTATAACTTAAAAGATTGTCTAGCTATCTCTGTCTAGGCGCACTGACCTTGACATTCTGCCTGTACCTAGTAATAATGTAATTCAGTTATTATTTGTATGCATTCCCTCCCCTTGTTCTGGGGCTCTTTAAACAGCCTCTCCATTTCTCCAGAAAGAATGGTTCTCTATTCCCGGCTTTGCTCATTTTTGACCAATGAGCAAGACGAAGGCACTTAACCCTTGTGTGCCTTCTCATTTCAGTCTGCGAAATTAGTAAAGTATGCTCAAGGTTACAGAGTTAAAGTGGGAAAATTAAACTAACTGAAGCTATCATCATTCATTTTGGGCCATGTCTGAACTAGTTTGTTTAAGAAAAAATTTTGAGCCCTGGCCAGTTTGGCTCAGCGGTTAGAGCGTCGGCCTGCGGTCCGGAGAGACCCGGGTTCGGTTCCCGCTAAGGGCACGTACTTCGGTTGCAGTTTGTCCCCAGCCCTGGTTGGTCGTGCGGGTGGCAGCCACTCGATGTGTCCCTTCACGTCGATGTTTCTCTCTCTCTCTCCTTCCTCTCTCTCCCTCCCACTCTATCTATACAAAAAATGGAAAAATATCCTCGGGAGAGAATAAAAAAAAAAAGAAAAAATTTTGAATTAGGTAATTCTCAAGAAATAGATTATATTCACTGCTTCCCTTATAGATACGTTCCGCTATATATGCATTATTTTACTTGTAATATTGTGAATATAGATAAAAGTTTATATTTTTATTGAAAAACAAAACCCAAACCCTTTCATTCAGAATTGTGATAATTTTATTAAGAAGTTTACGTATAGTCTCTATATAAAAATTTCATAAGAAAATAATATATGGAAAATGTCATCATACAATAGAAAAATAAGTCCTTTAAAAATCAAAAAGTGGCCCTGGCCGGTTTGGCTCAGCGGTTGGAGCGTCGGCCTGCGGTACAGAGAGACCCGGGTTCGGTTCCCGCTAAGGGCACGTACCTCGGTTGCAGTTTGTCCCCGGCCCTGGTTGGTCGTGCGGGTGGCAGCCACTCGATGTGTCCCTTCACATCGATGTTTCTCTCTCTCTCTCTTCCTCTCTTTCCCTCCTGCTCTATCTGAACAAAAAATGGAAAAATATCCTCGGGTGAGGATAAAAAAAAAAAAAAAAAAAAAAAATCAAAAAGTGTTAGAAGCACACAAGTAATTTGCTAATCACCAATAATTCTTATTTATTAAAATGTTGACCTTAGAAACCTAAGTTACTCTAACTTAATAAGCTGTTTAAAAATACCATTAAGTTTAACTGTATAAAGGAACAAGTCACATTATTTTAAAACCTCTTAAAATTAAGTAATTTAAATTGCTTGAATGCTTAGGTCAGTATCATAATTTTAGAATACTGCTTTATCTCCTAATTTCTCTGTTTGAAAGGTCCTATGATTATTTGCCTTGGGTAAAAAGAGTCAAAGGAAGTGGCATGAGAGTGTTCTAATGAGGACAATGATCTGGGAGAACGATTTTAAAAACATTTTCCCTCTTTGTTCTCAGTTTTTCCAAGCAAGTTTGTAGGCACCCAAATTATTCTTTATTTGCTGATTTAGGTATAGAACATCTAATAACATTCAGAACAAGTGAGAAGAACACTCCAATGTCTGAAAGTTGGACAATGGGGAGAATCCTCTAAACATGCCTACAGGAATGAAGCTACAGTTTGAACTCTGGTGTTCTGTGTGTTCTAATTTTATAGGTTAGAATCATCTAGTCAGTCATTGATGAATCGCAATGTGTAGTGAACATAGAATACATCTGAGATAAATCACTGTGAACTCAAGTGTCGGTTGCATGCTCAATGACAAGTTAAAGTCCACAATCATTTCCTGATACAACAGTACCCTGTCTCATTAGCAAGATGACCTTGAATGACTCTTGCCCATTTGCAAATTATCTGTGGTGTCCTCCTACCTCAGATGCGTAGGCGCATCAAGCAGCATGTGTATCAATCTTTACAGACTTGTAGAAGGGCCTCAGATACAAGCTTCCAGCATTCTATGAAAGTTCGCTTGGACTGAAGATGATTCTGGATCACAGACGGGGTCCCGAGTATCATACATTTAGTAGCTAAAGTGTAACTTACAGATCAAGAACTCTTCGTCTTCCTGAATCCCATTAAGTGACTCTCTGATTTTCTCTCAAGCCTTTTATATAAAATATACCTTTAATCATAATAGATTTCAGCTTTCACAAATCAACTCAACTAAGCACATGCTGTCTTTCTGTATCTCATGTTCTTAGGTCTTAAATGTAACAATTAGTTTCTAACTAGCCTAAGTTAAATAAATAACAATTTTCAAATGTTCCATAAAAACAATTAACAAACAAAATACAGATGTCTGTTGTACTGTTAAAGAATATTTTCATTAAACTTACTTGAAACCGGTAGAAGGTACCATCATCCTTGAGTGTGAGGACGTGATCCGAGATGGGGAAGAAGTAGCCGTGGGCAGCCATCAATGTCCCCAAGTGGAGCGCCTCCACTGTTTGGCGAGAACAAACAAGACATACATGAAAACCTGTTTTGAATGATCGATTTGCAGAAGTGTAGGGTTTTTCATGTTCCCCCACGTGTTGTACTTTTTCTTCTTCGTTCAGCTCTTTTACGCTGGGGACCACACTAGCTCCGGTGCCTGGTAGTGATTAACCTCACCCCATGATGACAAAAACATAAGGTTAGGGAACACCGACACTGGAAGATTATACTGAAATCACAAAATCTGACTCCTTCATTTTAGAGTTGGGACATGTTTTGCTATATGTTCATGGTCATCCACATATCTATAAATGATTCTATTTGGCTTTTATAAGCACTTTCAATGTGTTCCCACTTGCATCACCATGGGCTTGTACCATAAATATCAAATACTATCAGTGATTTTTCTAATGGCTCGTTATGATGTGGTACCAGCGGGGTGTTAAGGCATCTAGAACCATTTATGCTACACTAAGCGAGCCTACAGTCCTGTGATCGTCTAAACTGTTCTAGCTGTTACTATATCCAGTATTTTACTGATACAGTATTCTAGATATGGACAAGGAAGAGGCCTATTTGACAATAAAAACATTATATTTTCCCAATAGGCTGGGGAATAGTTAGAACATAATACTGTGATCGTCATACTCCGTCCACAGCAGCCAACAATTTCTTCCAACAAAGGATTAATAAAATTTGACCAACAGAATTGTCACTGCATTTGTGCAGGGACAACATAAGTTTGCTAATTTGAAGTCTAGAAAACATGAAGCTGTGCAAAATAATTTTTTCATTCTAACGTATATGTATATAGAAAATACAAAAAAGTTAGGTTTCTTTATGTTTATGTACCTTGAGACACAATTTATTTATAGATTTATTTCTGTTTCTTAGACAAGTAGCCAAGATGGTGAGCGCTAGGTTCTCACAGAAGTTCCGGAACATCTCCAGCCATCGGTGATGGGTGCTCAGGCCACCAGCCAGCACTGTGTCACCAAGCGTAAGAACCTTCCCCCGCCCACCTATATTAGCTAATAATAAAATAACTTGTACATTTTATCTGTTGTATGGAAAACAATATGGTGTTTCCTCAAAAAATTAAAAATTGAACTGCCATTTGACCCAGTGATCCCACCTCTAGGAATATACCCTAAGAAGCCTGAAACACCAATCAGGAAGAATATATGCACCCCTATGTTCATAGCAGCACTATTTACCATTGCTAAGATCTGGAAACAGCCCAAGTGTCCATCAATAGATGAGTGGATAAAAAAGCTGTGGTACATGTACACAATGGAGTACTATGCAGCTGTAAGGAAGAAAGCTCTCTTATCCTTTGAGACGACATGGAGGGGCCTGGAGAGTATTATCCTAAGTGAAATGAGTCAATCAGGGAAAGACAAATATTGCACGATCTCACTATTTGGGGAAAATAATGAACAAAATAAACTGATGAACAAATTAGACCCAGAGACATAGAAGTAGGGTTCAAACTGAGAAACCTCAGAAGAGGAGGTTAGAGGGGAGGGAGGAGATAAATCAAAGAAATATGCACATAAGCGTAACCATGGACACAGACAACAATGCTGGGGGGAGGGCAGGATCAGTAGGAGGGTGTCAATGGGGGGAAAAGAAGAAACATCTGTAACAAAAATAATTAATAAAAAAAACTGTATCTGTTGTGGGCTACCATGTTGTCCCTTTTCATCGTCATCTCATATCTTGCACACATCTTCATTGGTAACTTCTACCTCCAGTCTTTCACTGCATTGTTCTTGTCAATAATACACAACAACTGTCAATCATCCTCATAGTCACATCCCTGGAAGACTGTGATTAAGTGGTCCAGTCCTCTTCTCCACACGCTCAGTCAAGCTCCTCCCTGCACAGAATGGTCTTTACCTACAGAGAAACCTTTTTCATCAAATATCTATATTTCATTGTTTCTGTATCCTTTGAATTAAAAGTTAAGGACTTCTCAGAGCCTGTGTTGTGTCCAACTATATACTAAAGTATTTTGTTGTAGGAAGGGGTAAAAAACCGCTTCTGAGCTAGCCACTAGCTTTAGTGCCCTAAGTTTTCTGGGTCTCTCCCATCTATCAGTAAAGGTTACCAGGGCCGCCTTGCAGGGCTGGTGTGAGAATCCAACAAGCATCACGTAAAGGAGCTGGAATGGTGCTTCGGGCGTAGTCAATACTCAATGGACAGTAGCTACTATGCAGCATTATTTACATACTGAATAATTTTTACTTTTCTCCAAAGTACTTTCAGGAAATCCACTTCCATAAACTTGCCTTCCGTTGGGCTGGGAGGGAAGCTGGCAGCATCTCTTTTTAGTGTGGGTTATCTATAAAACTGAGCCCAGCAGACCTTTGAGGGTTGCTGACCAGCATCAGTGGGCAGGTAGCCTTGGCCTTGGTCTGCGTCTCGGATGCCCCTACCAGGTAGCACTGGGCAGAAAAACGTATCACACCCCTGTCCACCCTAGGATTTCAGAAGCAGGTGGCCCGCCTCTCTCTTTATTGTTTATTGCCAGCAGTCTGTGGCCTAGGGACATGTTATCAGTGTTTTTTCAGAAAGAGAAACCAGTGATGGCACATGAGGAAGTTTTCAGAGTACAGATACAAGAAAGAGAGACTGAGATGCTCAGAAAGATAAACAGCAAAGCGCTTCTGAACTCTAAACATAGGAAGGAGTCTGACTAAAAACATATCGACAGAAAAAACAGTTGAATGGCAAGGTGTTGATGAGGATTAGACAAAAGTAGTGAAAGTCACTGTAGGGAAGTAAATGCATCAGAAGCAAATGAACACAAGCATGTTCTTACCTCGGGCATCTACCAGCTGCTACCTCTATGATGCCTTCTTAGAGGGCTAGGTACATGTCTGCAGGTTTTATTCAGGTAGCACTAGCATCACGAGACCTGCATGAATGCTTGTTGATAAGAATAACAGTGAACCATCTAGTAACTTCTACCTCTTTTTTTTTGCTTGAATAGACAATACTCTATTTTTGTTTGATTTGATGATCTAATTCTCATTTCACTGCTCAGCCAAGAGATATTCATGCTCTATTGTTTCATTAATAGGAAAACTTGGTTTGATAAATTTTCAAAATGGCTAGAATTCAGTAGATTTATATATATATATATATATATATATATATATATATATATATATATATATATTTTGGTATCAGTAAGAACAAAATTTAGTTTCTACATGGCTCACACATACTTCAAATCATTTAATATGTAAGAGAACTGAATTTCTAACAAAGATTATAAAATGATTTTGAGGTCCTTGATCAAATGGTGACCCAGAGAAACTGAGATAACAGGAGTTACATGCTCTGTTATGGGGCCTCCAGAGACATAAATTCTTAGAGGAAATCGAGGAGTTGTGGTAAATTTTCTGCTTCATTTAAGATTGCAAGCTTAGTATAGCAATAGCAAAAGTAGTTACTGAATCCGTATTTGCTGAATAGGTGAAGAAGGAAATTTATGAAAAAATAATACAGAAAGAATAGCAAAAACAGCACTGAATGAAAAATCCTAAATTTTACATTGCGATGATGAGGCGCTTGCTTAGTTCTTCCAAGATGATGCAAATGTTTGAAATCTGTTTTCAGAATATTTTTAGCAGCTCGTGAGGTGGGGGCATTGTAGGTAATTTATTATGGAAAAGATAATAATGATCTAAATGGCATAGGTGCCGCCACTAAGGGACCTTGCAGTGGGCTTGGGCAGTGTCCCCAAGGTTGAATTATTTGCGGTTAGTGACAAACACAAAGCTACACTTCCCCGTGGTCCTGCTGCTCCTGGATCTCAGCACAGTTTTAATCAAATAAGAATCTGGAGGACCACTGGGAGTCTTGCAACGAAGTGTTGAAAGTTTAATGAGTAATCCACCGAGATCACTCTCCCAATGATGGCACACCAGATGGCTCCGCAACGTTATGCTTCTTGGCAAAATAATCACTAATTAATCTTCTTGTACATGTGTCATTCACATCGCCCACACAGCGAAATAAACTTCAACAACAAACCAACCATAAGATTTCAGTTCATTTTTCATTTGGATAATCAAGCCACGAAGCAGCTGAGAAAGAAAAATCCATTTTCAAACAATTGGTGCTATGTGATCAGCCTAGTGCAGTCTTGTTAAGTCTGATGTATTCATCACGTTGTTTCACCCCCTAAAGCAAGAGAATCATCAAACCCTTTAAAAGCAAAAGAAAAATTTACATAGCATAACGGGTCTTTGGACCGCAATGACTTCAGAAAGTTAGCAGGATTAAAATCATGTTATGAAAGAGGTCTGTGGGATCCCGTTCTATATTCCTATGCACAGAAATCGACACATTCAGGTCCATATTTACAACCTATTTTCAAGCCTCAGTAATACGTTTCGTGTTCAGATGTGTCACTCCTACCAACTTCATCCCTTTCTAAATACAGGGCATACATTTGAAATGCTGGAAAAATGCTTCTGAGTCAAGAAAATAATGATGAAAAGATCGCACTAAATCCTATGTTTTTATTCCTGGAATGACTTGTTTAGTTTCATTTTATGTGTTTGTATTAACAAATGTTTTTAGTATCAGCATGCAGTGCATCGATGTAGCAAATCTGACTAGTGTATGGGGAGAAGTATTTCAGATGGAAATCTATTCAAAATGCGGGAAATGACAGGTGGTGGTAAGGTACCAAGGAAAGAGAGAAGCTAAAAAGGAGGCAGAGGTAAGTCACAAAGTAGCGACACCGGCCTCCGTCGCCATGGTGCTGAGTCATGAGGGAAAGACTTGTTATTCTGTTTGAGAAGACAGGGGACGTGGTCATTTTAGAGAAAAATTATACTTGTTTGTAGAGTTGGCATTAGAAGAGGTAAGTCGTGTGGAAAAATCACACAGGCAGGACATTTTATTCTCCAACGAGGCCAAATAAAAGTGAAATATTACATATTTAGGAAATTCTGGGGTAAGCCTATTTTCTCAGTAATAGGAGTT